GGTTCTCTCCTGTTAGTACAATATGTAATGAGATGATTGTGGCTGCCCGGACAGTGCATTAGTGCTTGTTGTGCTGTAATACTACCATAGCATCTGGTTTATTGTAATACTAACCATACAAGCACACACACACACACACACACACACACACACACACACACGCACACACTATAGTTTCTCAGTTTTATACCTACTTAACACCAATAGCATTGTGTTACTCTATTCTTTAATTACTTACTTAATAATTCTCAACTTTAACTTGTAATTTAATTACATTAAAAATGTCTAATTCACATTTAACTTATTATACTTTCACTTACCATTATACTAAGAAACAGTGTCCACTGTGTAAACTCAAACACTAGACAATGTGGCTGCATATGTCATTAACTTTTTATTCTTACTTTGGATTTTCTGGTGGAGTGGAGCTTGTGAAATTTTATCATTTCAAACTTTCTTTCTCATCTACTTCTGAGTAGGATCCTTTCTACCCTATGAAAAGTGAAATAACCAAAATTTAGAGTTACTGGATTTTGTACTAATCACCAGCATCATTAAACCAAAAATAATGGTCACAGAAGCCACACCTCCCTAGTTCCTTAGTGTTTCATTTATAACCAGAACAAATATATAAATATGTGCGCTATCAACCACAAGAATTCAGTCACAATCAGGAGCCCAAGCTAAAAATATAAATGGATTACCATATATTATTACTATAATGAATAGTATACTGGAAACAGGAGTGATATTTTGTTTTATCCATCATCTACCATATATCTGTTTTCTTTCACTCTTTTTTTTAATTTCGTGCTTCCTCTCATGCTTTCTTCCATCTGCTCCTACCTGTCCTTGTTCTTATCGTCATTTCCTCATCCTCTTCTGTCTGCTTTTTCAAGGTATTATACAAGTTTGGTGGCGAAAGATGTGTCTCAATTTGCAGATAGCAGTATAAAGCAGTTCTAATTTAAGGATTATGGTGATTGGAGAGTAATATTATTACAGGAGAAAGGTAAAAGGTAAAAGTAAAGCACAAATGAGAAGACTGAAAGAGTAGAAGACAGAAAGAGTAAAAGAAAAGAGGACATCAGACACATGGAGAAAGGAAGCTGATCAGCATGCAATCACTGATGAGAGAGGTAAAGGTAAACGCAAAATACCAGGAAATGGTTCGTAGAAAGAAAGGGGAGACATGCTTGCCACTTGGTAGTCATTACAGAGAAGCTTTCTCCATTCAGGAGCTCGGTGTGCAGCTGTCGCTTCAGGGAACTGATCACATACACCCTGAGTCACAGACACAAACACACACATATATACAAACACACACACACACATGATTTCTATTACACACATGCACACATGCCTTGGGCTGTGCTTTGAACTGATCCTTACCACTAGAGAGAGACACTCAGAGAGCTGGCTGATAATAATATTATCCTATGGCCTTCATATGGTAATATGGTTTTATTGCTATGAAGAAATATGAATATTATGGCTTTCACAGGCAGCTTAGGGAATTACATGGCTGTCATGGTTCCCAGCTTCAATAGAATGTTTAGATTCTCTATTTATCTAAGGTCTCTGGGTGGGAAATCTATTAAGTTTTGCTCTGATATCTGCTGGCATGTTGTATATACCTACAAGTATGGATAAAGACAAAGTGCAAGACATGCCTCTCCACCAAGTAAAGGTCACAGTTTAGCACACAGACTAACACACTTCTAGACAAAAAAAGACGAATGAGGCTGTGTCATGATACAGCTGAATAAACTCAGATACAGGATCATTTATCCCAAGATATTTGCTGATAAAGAGCAAATTAACTTGGTTTGTGCAATAAAATAATTATACTTTTAAATAGGGATGCAACGATACCAATTTTTTCAAACCGATACGATACCAATACTTGGATCTGAGTACTTGCCGATACAGAGTACAAAAAACGATACTTCTACCACACACACACACACACACACACACACACACACACA